CTCCTCCTCCTCCTCCTCCTTCTTCGACCCGCTTCGCGAAGCCGGAGACGGGATCCTCATGTTACAGCAACTCTTCCTGGGCGGTGGACCTGATAGTTAGACGGCCTTGTATCTGCCAGAACCAGCCCGCCTCGCCCATCATGAACCCTGATCCGGCCGCCTCCGTCGGTCGATGTCCCGTACGGTAACGAGGGCCAAAAACTCCACCGCCAAAGACCTGGGTGAGAGAGAGAGTCCGAGTCGGGTATGCCCCCTCCCCTTTCCCACGGCCCATTGCCAAACATGTTCATTGCTGCCCGTCCCCGGTTGCTTCGGCCGCGTTGTCGAAGTTTCGCAAACCCTACCACGGCAAATCCCTCCCAAAGTTTGAGCGGGCCGCGCCCGCTAAACCTCAGAGTCCCATCATGCAGAGCTGATATCTCGAAACAGGCTAACAGCTGAGAAGAAAGGCGCCAGCATGTGGTACTGTGCCGCACCGAGGCTGCAGGCAAACTGCATCACGAGGTTGTTCGGTAAAGATTCCAGTCAGCTTGGTGAGGTCAGCGAAGGCGCAGAAGCCGAATTTGCCAGAGGTCTAAAGCCCGCCTGCTTGTATCCGTAGAAAGATACACCATGATCCATCGCCCTTCGCGGCTCCCCTGGGCCCTGGCACGAGACCACACTCGTGAATTCGGCCGCGGGAGATCTCGCCGATGCTGATACGACGTCGCCCGCTTTCCGGCATGACCCCCCCCCCCCCCTCACCCTTTGCCTTTCGCCCCCGGGGGCTCCCACTCAACCCTCGAAGAGAAAAGCCAAGAGCAGCAGCCTAAAGCGAGTCGGAGAGGACAAGGCCCGCACGACCCGGCGGCCGGCGGCCGGCCCTTCTTTGCCCACTCGCTTGCATCTCGCAAAGATCGAGCTTGCAGAAAACTCTGAGCGTCGTGCTGGATAGGACCCGCCGCCGGTGTTCCAGTTGGCGGGGTAGAGACTATCGTGAGGGAGAAAAAAAGTTGTTCGCGGGGTAAAAGTTGGCCGTGCGAGGGGCGACTTTTCGACTGCCGACGTTGAAGGGTGTTTTCTTCTTTTTGCTCCTTCCTTTCTTCTTTTGATGTGGAGGATTCGGTGTTTGTCCGGCCATATTGGATATGCGGTTTGCGTCCTGCACCATGCGAGGTCATTCTCTTGCATCTTGTTGGCAGGCATCATATCGGAGGAGGTATGCGTGTCCGTCTCCAACAAGATCCGCTGTGCGCGTCGTTGCCTTTTCGATATGCAATTGCGTGATTCCGCTTATTTCGTTTTGGTATTTTTCAGAGGGAAGAGGCGTTCCTCTTCGCTCGCCTTTAAATTTCTTATATGTCGTGTAAGTTGTAAGTACATCAACGATCCAAGTGGATCCACGCTGGACTTACTACAACTCTGAGAGCAAAAGTATGGGTGTATTCTGCTACGCAGATGAAGTTTTACGGCAGCTTTCTCCGAAGCTTGATCGAATGCTTTACGAAGTCCCTCAGCATTTCCGCAGAGTGTCTTTTACACCGAGCATTAATTCTAAATAACAGACATATGCGCTACCGTATTAATGCATCCATAATTCGCCCTGTTCTCCATGGACCGGCCCTTTCATGTATGGCACACGTATACAATGAGCCCTTGTGCCATGAGTTGTACCACAAGCGTGCTCTTGGTACGGCTTCGAGGCTGTGATATAAGTGAGATGAGTGGCAGCTCCAAATAGTCCCATGAGCACTGGCGTGCGCCCGCCTAATATAGGTACTTGCCTGGAAAATGATGTCTATCTTAGAGTAAGATAATGCGAGGTCCCATGAGGGGTTATAAATCAATCGGACAAGGCTAAGATGCAGCCTTCCTGTCAGGACATTGATAGTTGCTCTAGTATTACCATGAATAGTATCGTGCTCCCGAATTGCTGAACTACACAGAAATACACGTATCATTCACACTCATCTGATCGGGCATGCAAAGATATTAGTACGTTCTCCAAACGTGATGTCGTCAGGTCCAACAACCTATTCGACTGTCAAAGTGAACAACAATGTTTCTTCAACCGTACTGTTGCAATATACTTGATCCTCATTCTTGACGCCGGTTTAATTTCTTACCCAACTTTCTTCTGGGGTCTCGCATGGTTAGAGGAGTGTCAACCCGCTACAAAGTCTCACCTGAGGGCTCTATACCGCCTACTAGCAATAGATTCAAGATCGATGTCAAGGTCAGACTAATACACAAAGCATTTCCATTGTCAATAGCGGCTTGGAAAGGTGAAGCCCCTTCGAGCTCAACTACCGTAATGAGGGAAGACCTTGCAACATCCCGTACGGCGAAATAGGGAGACAGGTCAGGCCTGCGCAATTATGGCGATGATGAATCATTGGTTTATAACCTGCTGAGGTCATATAACTATCACTTCTCACGATGTTGACTTCCGAGCGATGGCCAGGAATACTTAGCACAGGCTGAGTTGCAATGTCAGTGGTATCAGTCTCTCTTCGAAGTAACCGGTCTATCTAGAAGGATCATGAATCAAGATCGTATTTGAAGGATTTCCTATGCTTTTAGGTCGCAAGTTTTCCAGCCATCACGAAGCACTTCGTCAAAAGAAGCCAGCGAAGGTCTGAACACTTCTACCATTGTTTATGTTCATATTGAAAAGGGAAATACAAAAAGAGTTCACCTCCGCGTGGCTATATCTCTTGGTGATCATGCTGGGAATGAGACTCGGAGCCTGTCGTCGAGTAAGGTTATGGGCGGATATATTGAATGTTGACCTCGAACCATTCCACTACTCAGCGATTTTGACCGGACCCGTCGACCTAGACGGCCCCTGCTGGCTGGTGACGGGAATGGGCTTGAAGGGGTAGGTAGATAAGGGCTTCCTACGTATTCAGATGACGGGAAATACGGCAGCGGCAGCAAGGACAGCATTCGCAGCGTCTCGATGCGCGGACACTAGGCTTGTTATGTCGGGTGTCACCTTCACGCGGAAAAGAATACTTTCAAATGGAGATTTGATCAAGTCAATTTTAACCTATGATATGCATGGGCATTTTCCTCGCCCGTCTTTTGGTTGAGTGGGTAGTACTAGTACATAATGTGACACCCGGCGATTCTCCTATCTTGTGTGTGTCTGTCCATCAACGCCGGCTCCGTACTCTCCAACTAATCATTTCTGTCCCGCCGCCTGGTCGAAGCTCTCAAGCACCGAATCCTTCAGCTGCTTGGGCTCCCCGGACGCTCCCTCGTCAGACTCCTCCGCCGACTCGCTGCCGACCAGCTGCTTCGCCATCGTCCTCGCTTGTGCCTGGCCAACCTTGCCGTAGACGCTCAGGCCAGTGGCAATCATGCTCGAGATGTCTCCCACGTTGCCGGGGACAACAACAGCCGTGCTCTCCTTGGCCAACTTGCCAAACGCGTCAACATACTTCTCGGCAACAGACAGGCTGATGGCGCCCTGTGCCGCATCCTCACCATCGGCAATGCTCTTGGAGACGGCCTCGATACCGGCGGCGGTAGCCTTGGCCTTCATGAGGATAGCCTCAGCCTCACCAGACGCCCTGTTGATCTGCTCGGCGCGCAAGGCCTCGGACGCCAGAATGACGCTCTGCTTCTTACCCTCGGCGATGTTGATGGCCGACTGCCTCTGACCCTCAGAGTCGAGGATCTCGGCGCGCTTCGAGCGCTCGGCGGTGACCTGGCGGTGCATGGCTTCGACGACGCCGGCGGGGGCGTGGATGTCTCGGATCTCGTAACGGAGGCAGGTGACGCCCCAGGCCTGGGCAGCTTCATTGATGGCGGCGGTGATGTTTGTGTTGAGGGCGGCGCGCTCCTTGAGGACGTGGTCGAGGGTCAGCTGGCCGATTTCGGATCGCATCGTGGTTTGCGCCAGCTGGGAGATGGCGTATTCGGCATCTTCAACTCCGTAGCTTGAGGTATACTGTTAGTATGCTTCTACGATACCGTCGAAGGGTGTGTTGACAAACCTGGCCTTGTAGGCGTCAAAGACGCGGGTGTAGAGGACGCCATCGAGTTCGAGGGTGACGTTGTCGGCGGTAATGGCGCTCTGACTGGGGATCTCGAGGGCATTTTCCTTGAGCGACTTGACGTAGGAGATGCGGTCGATAAAGGGGACGAGGATAGCCAGACCGGGCTCGAGGATGCGGTTGAACTTTCCCATGCGCTCGACGATCCATGCTGTCTGTTGCGGAACGAAGCGGATGACGGTGTTGGCGGGGAGTGACGACCTCTGGAAGTAGGAGGGCGGGATGCTGGAGCTGGAGCCGAATGCTGATGGAAGCAGGCTCTTTGTGGTTGTCTGGAAGCCGCGCGACTGGGACTGGACGAGAGCCCGTCTCAGCGGCGCGGAGAGTGCGGCTTTTGTTACCGCCGAAGCCATGTCTGTTGCTGCTGCTGCTGCTGCATTGACGTATATCGAGAAGATGCGTGGATCAAATCAAGGTTGCGAGCTCCAGAACAGCTCTCTCGCGGGTCATCAGCTAAGGCCAAAGAGGATCTGCGGGTCTCCGTCGTCTGACCGGGGCAAAAAAGTCCATGGATGACGGAAGGTGCAGCTGCCTCTGCCTACCGATAATTAGCCGACGGCATCGGCCGAGGCCCACCGGGCTCTGATGCTCCCGTTCCGTGGTGCCATGCCATGGGCATCTAGGATCTAGGACAGGACATCCTAGACATGGACGAAGTCTTGCATTGTCAGCTTGGAAACCAGACAGCACATCTGTTCGCAACGGATACGAAGCCCGCATACTCTGATTTTTGCATTGGATCGCAACCCTATTGATGTTGGCTAGTCATGAAACTTGGATCTCAAAATATACAGCATCATGGCAGCCCCTAAGATGATCAGTCATAGCATCCATTTACACCTTACCGGATTAAACCATGATACAACACCTAGTTTGAGTCCTCATCTGGAAGACTGCGATTAGTCTCAGAGGAAAACAAGCCAGTATACAATCAGCAGAGGGAGCCTGGAGAGTGGCGCCCAGTATCTGAGTTTCGCATCCGCAGAGGTGCATTGCTGTTGACGGTATCCTCTTCCGTTTCACTCTGTTCAGAGCCTCAAAGCACAAAGACACAATGCCTTCCTTCACAGCACAGCATAATGAGCGGAGAGAAATTTGGGTGTGAAGAAAGTCATAATCATTGAGCCATACTACCCATGCCATGTGTACCGATAATCAGCCCGACCTACCCAGCCAAACCCTCTTTCGCGAATCGTGGAGAATCATGCACATAGGCCACTACTAGTATGTAGAACCTTCGGGAGGCTGGGGGATCTTCTTGTTTGCAGGAGCCGCCATGTACCTGAGAAAGTGAACGTTAGCCTTGCCTGAATACGGCTTGCAGCACTTCAGCGTGCACCCAGATCTACCTCCCCGACGTACCTTCTAAGCTCAATGAGAATGGTCTCCATGGTGTTGTCTCTCTTCCAGTTGGCCAGGCAAGGAAGCTGTCTGGGGTCGACGACGCCATTGCGGGAGTTGACGCAGGGCAGGTTGACCTGGCTCACAAATTGTATCGTGGGAGGCTCGTCAGGGTAGTTGGGACCACAGTGCATCTTGAGGGAGTAGATTCTGTTCTCGTGGACGCTCTGCAAAGGACCGGTCAGTGATGCGCAACACCTCGATGGGGGCCGGTAAGCACAAAGAAGGTACTAACGTGAGGGGGTCCGAGAATGGTTCCATTCCAATCGGACATCAAGAGGTCCTCGGCATCGTTCAGACCATAGGAGCAGGCCTCTGCAATGGAAGGAGTCAGTCAGAACTGCGAGATGCGCGGGGCAGATTGCTTGGTGTTGCATCAGAGGGGAGGGGCTGTAGTACCTGCTCCAAGACCTTTCTCGCCCTTCTCAAGCTCCTCAAGGAGGCGGAAGTTGCGTGGAACCTTTGCGCCCATGTTGAGTCGTGTGTGGGTATCGCGAGGCTTGGGTTCGGTGTGGTTGTGAAAGGGCGACTGGTAGATACCGCAATGTAGATGTTCAAAGTTGGAGGGGTTGCGAAGTGGGAGGAAGGCCGATGGGGGGAGTGCACTGCGGCCCGGATCTTAGTTCCTTACCTAAACGTGAGGTAGGCACCTACCTAGGTAGTGGGGGTTACCTGATGGACCCAGTGGCGGGTCGCAGTGGGAACCTTACAGAAGGGGCCACCAGTGTAATCAAGCTGGCTTGTGCCTGAAGGCGCTGGAGAGACGGCGCAAGTGTCACTGTCTGGCCAGAAGCTGTGCTAGCCGAGCCCAAAGGCAGCGCGGGGCAGTGAAGGCGGTGAACCACTTTGGGCATTTCTGCCGATCAAGCGGTGTGGATACCTTTATGCGAGATGCCTTAGTCATCATTCAAGGTGGACAGCTCACCTCAATCGGGAGCTGTGGATGAGCTGCCAGGCGCAGAGAGCAGTTGCAGCTGTCCAAACGGGAGCTCCCAACCTTCACTTACCCTGTTCATTCCCATCAACTCGAAATCTAATCGACAATCTTCGACAGGACACGGTCTTGTAACACTTCGCAGTCTGTACTAGTTGCGTGTGTTTCTTCATTTCACTGAGTTCTCTCAAAGATCGATGATGGACTGCCCGAGAGGCCACCTGTGACAGAATGACGACCCAGCTCCTGGCCACGGAGCTAACCAACCTCATCCAAGAGAGCAAACGGAAACACAATGACCTCCGACAGGTGTGCACTTGATTCTCTGAACAAATCAGACTCAATGCTAATCATATATGGACAAGGCTGCTGAAAAGTCTCTCGAGGAACTCAAAGCGCTTAGAGGAGCTAATGAAGCTCAAGCTGCCAACGGTGTGTATCCCCCCCTGTCGATCCTCTCCTAGCTATGGATCCATGACTGACCTCTCGATATAGAGCTTGCCCAGAGACCCAACTTTGTGAATCCTTTCATCATTGCATGTGGCACCAAGAATGCAAAGTTTACTGGAATCGCTATTGTATGCCTTCAGAGGCTCATCGTCGCCCGTGCTCTTCCGAGGGGGAAGTTGAACCAGGTCCTCGAAGCTCTGAGAGAGGCAACCTCGGCTGGGCTCGATGTTCAACTCAAGATCCTTCAAGCCTTGCCGTCACTATTGCAAAATTATGCCACTGATCTCAAAGGCGACCTTCTCATCACCGCTTTGAACATCTGCTTCATACTGCAGTCCAGCAAGAATGCTATCGTCAACAACACCTCTGCGGCAACCTTACAACAGCTCGTCGTGTCTGTGTTTGACAAGGTCGTTGCCGAAGACAGTCAGTCTTGGGTCTTTCTGCCACCAAGTATATCTGCTAATCGTGAATAGAAACGGCTCCAAGTGGCCCTCCCGCTGGCGAGGCGCCGTCCGGTGATGGCACAGTCGAACTGCGCGCAGCCGCGCTTGATGCGTACAGGGTATGCCGCGCTTGCATACTTCCAACTTCCGTCACTTACATCTGCTTAGATATTCAACGACTTATGCCTCATGACGGAAAACCAGCGCCCCGAGTACCTGAGGTTCTCTGGTCTGCCACAAACATTCGGGCTAGAACTGATAGAGTCTGTTCTTACCAACCACGCCGCCGTCTTCTCGACCCATAAAGAACAAGCACACATCCTACAGATCCGGGTCATGCCCTTCATCACTAGTGCACTAAAAGGGAAACCCAACTTCGCCACGTCAGTCAGGCTGGTCCGAATTCTGTACACCCTCCTCAGACGCCATATCAACATCCTCCCGACCGAAAGCGGAGATGCACTTGATATCCTGACGCATCTGCTGGACCAGGACACGGCGACATGGAAGAGAGCACTGTGTTTAGAGGTGTTCCGAGGTATTTTCTCAGAGCATGCCTTGATCCGACGAATTTTTGTCAACTACGACGCCAAAGAAGGCGAGAAGGATGTTCTCAAACATTTGACCGCTACCTTTGTGCGGCTTAGCACCGAGAAGCCATCCGTTATTGGTCTTGGACATCAATCGACGATCCCGGTTATGAACCCATATGCCAGCATCGCCTCATCAACCGACCAAGCCATGCTCGAGGCCAGCGGTGTCACGGGTATCATCAGCGGCTCCGTCAGCGCAGACGGCTCCAATGTGGGTATTAGCACACAGTGGAGTAGCGTCCGGGTCCCTTGCATCGACCAGCTCGACAAGACCGAGGCACCATCTGTCCCGGATTCTTACATCTACAGCTTGACTTTGTCGTGCATAGGATCGCTCTCTGAAGGCCTTGCCAAATTCATCCTTCCCCTTACCGTCCCTGGGGATAGCCGCAATCGCAAGAAGAGCGGGAAACAGGAAGTTGGTCGTGACTCGCCGGCACCTGCACAAGATGATACAGACGGGTCACGGGCTGCGTTGGAACGAGCGGCGTCATTCAAGAAGAACCCCGTTCCGCTCAACCCTCTTGCTTTGGAGGATCATCCCATGCACAAAGAAGTCAAAATCTGCGCCGCCATCATTGAAGAGTGCTGGCCTGCTATCCTTGCCACCTGCTCTACGTTCCTCTATGCTGCTATGGACTCTGAGTACTACCACAGTCTAGTGAGGGCATTCCAAAAGTTCGCGCACGTCGCCGGCTTGCTCCAGCTGTCTACCCCGAGAGACGCGTTCTTGACAACGCTAGGCAAGGCGGCAGTACCACCGAATGTGTTCACGGCGTGCCTGAATGCCGGGCCAGCTCGACCAACAACACCCACACCGACCACAGAAGCGCCCAACAGCATTCTGAGCAACGCACGAGGACTACTAAGTGTCGACAGTCTTGTCACCCAAGCCTCGCCCATCGCTGACAGAGGTCGACAGCCAGGCCTTGAGGGTAGCCAGATGACGCTCAACACCCGTAATCTACTATGTCTGCGAGCGCTCCTTAACCTTGGCATTGCTCTTGGCCCGACTCTTGGTTCCTCATGGCGTATCATCCTGGAAACCTTACAGCAGGCCGATTTCGTACTGTTCTCCACGAGTAAGACTCCTGGCCGAACGCCACTCGCAACGAAGGGAACGGATCAGCATGCAGAGGGCGAGGCAAATGCACTTCTCTCCAACTTTAGCAGTGAAGTCCGCGCTGTGGAGACGGCAGCATCTCGTCTGATCGAAAGCACCATTGACTTTCCCAATGATGCCTTTGCACAAGTCGTTGAGGCGGTATGCGACCTCTTGGAAAGAGCAAAAGATGACAAGCCGAAGACAGAGACTACAGCGCAACCAAAATCGCCTACATCAGGAGGCATGAAGGCGTCGCAAGCAGGTCAACACCGTCGGGTTCTCAGTGTATCTACAGCAGCCGCCGCGGGACCGAACCAGGAAGACCACTTCGCCCTGGCCAAGCTGGGTGATATTGCTACAATCAATATTGATCGCTTGCTTTCTTACTCGCCAGATATATCCGGTTGGACGCCCCTGACTTCCGAATTGATTCACATCATCAACGCGTCTTCAATGAACGCTTCTGTAAGGCTGCGAGCGGCAGAAATTCTCGTCAGACTGGCTCTTGATGCAGCCAACATTGCGGCCACGATGGAGCGTGAGCAGTGCGGTCAAGTTCAGTTGCTTCTCCTCGAGGCTCTCCGCGATGCACTGTTGCCTCTGCAGCAGGAAGATAGGGAGGTCACCGTCGCAAGTCATAGCACTGACGTCGAAATCCACAAGGTTGTCCTAGAAGGATTGAAGAACCTGCTTGAAAATTGCGGCGAGACACTCGTTAGCGGATGGGAGATTGCCTTTGAGATTATCGGCTCCATCTTCATCAACCAAAAGTTCGCCCCTGGAGAACGTCGGGGCTCCCAGACGAACGTTCTCATGACCAGATCAGCGAAGCTTGTCCGGTCTTCTTTCAATTCTCTTCAACTCATCTGCTCCGACTTCCTAGCGTCTTTGCCGAATTCCTGCTTTCTCATCCTTGTCGATACCCTTTACAAATTTTGTTCGCAAGATGATGACCTCAATATTGCATTAACGGTACGTTGCAAAGCGTCATGCCCTTTGGACCAAGCTAACACTTTGTAGACTGTCACGTTTTTCTGGGTCCTGTCAGATTTCCTTTCCGGCAAGACTGAGACCCTTCCCGTCACGGCCGACCTGATGCAGGGCTCAAGTATATCTGATCTGGCAGCCTTGGCTGCGAATTCGGAACACATCGCCTCAGACGCCGCTCTTTGGATGCTGTTGCTGTTAAGACTCACGACCGTGACAGCCGATGGACGACTCGAGCTACGCAATAGCGCGATTCAGACCTTGTTAAGAATTTTTGATGCGTATGGCGATAAGTTGAGCCCAGAGGCATGGTCCACCTGCGTCAAGTCTGTGGTTTTCAAGCTTCTTTCATCAATAGAGGAAGAACTCCAGGCTGCCGCAACCGACAGTACCACCCTGCAAGACCGCAAAGAGTGGCACGAGACAGCATCCGTTGTCTTGACCGGTATTTCAGAGCTCCTTACGACCTACATGGAGACCCTATCCACACATTCCTCATTTAATGCCCTGTGGCAAGAGCTTCTTGGTCACTTTGCTACTCTGCTCGATTTCAAGGTGCTCACAATCAACACAGCCACGTACAAAGCACTTGGCAAGGTTATCAAGCTAGGCTACGATCCCGGCAGACCCATTTTTGACACAAACACTGTCAACGCGGCATGGGAGCTGTGGTCTCGGGGTACGCCCGTCTCTCTAGACGAAGAGGACGGCAAGAAGGCAGACAACCAAAATTGCTTGATTGCCTACGTTGCGGCTTTCCACGATGTGTACCAACTCGTCCAGCAAGACCTTACAGTGGATCGTGTCCGCCAAATGTTGACCCTCTTCCGCGAAGCCCTGCAACAAGCCACAGTTGGAGCCTACGTGAACGACATTGAGTATGTCACGCCGCTGCAGAGTCAGGTTATGGAAGCCATTAAAATGGTGCGAACAGACCTCGCTGGAGTGCCCTCAGCCATGATCTCCCAGGTGGCGGAGTTCGTCCGCCTGGCCTTCAGCGACGAAGCACTCAAGGCGCAGAGCGCAACGCAGCGGAGAACATATGTGGCCATGTCGAAAGCCAGCA